ACCAATGGCTGGACACCCCTACACCTTCGCTAGAGACTTGCAAAGAGAAAAATAAGCTCTCATGTGGCTAAAAAACCCTAACTGCGAAAAGAAGGCAAATAAAACATTTTGTAAATGATACAATTACAATGTCATTTGTCATTGTAAGCTTACAACATGATATATTTTTATATAATTGATTCTTTTCACTTAAAAATCTATACATAATATCATATACATTTATTAATTTAATTATATGTCATACTTATTTAATGTCACATTATATATATAAATTTATAATATTACGTGATATTATAATTATAATATTGTCATAAAAAATTTTACGTTATCCTTATTTATTTAGTTTATCTAACAACAGAATTTTTAGGTTTCTATTTTTATCTAGTTAGAAAAGGCAAAATCATGTAATTACTAAGCAAATTTTGATCCTCCTATATACGATAGGCATAAATTGCCAAGCAGAACATGAAAAGACATATTATCAACTTAAGTTGTTTAATGATAATTTTTTTTAATTGAGTAAGAAATTTTTTATCTGAGTTGTGAAAAGATAAATTAAAAGATAGAGAGAATTATTTTTTTATTGTATAATCCAAAATAATGATGAAAGAAGGTAAGAAACACAAAAGGACATAATTTAGAGGCCCAGAACTACAAAATTGAGGTCAACCCAACAACACTTTCGGCCCGTGTATCACAAAATTTCCAATCAACAAACCCCGTTAATCAAATTCAAACCTGATTATTCTGTAATTTAATTCAGATTTCTCACCTAAAAAAGGCGTTAAAATTAAATTACTTTAAGCAATCATAAAGGATCTCAATGATTTTTTTTTTTTTGGTAAATCACCTCAATGAAATAAAATAAAATATGTTCTTCATTGCTAAGTTAACTGAAAGAAGGCACTTGGTCCTTCGGCTACCTTGAAAGTACAGTCTTATTTCCTTTTGTGAGTTCGAAATTTAAATCTTATTGACACTTTGTTAAAAAAAAAAAAAACCTAAAAGAAGTTATATAATTCTGCCTTTGTTAAGTACGCTCAACAGGTGAACGGAAGAAATTGTCGTAGTCAAAGACCCACATGTACGGCAATTTTTATGTTTAAAGTACAAGCGTCTCCTTTACTAAATAATTTTTTTTTTATTTTAGAGTATTTCCCTATTCCAATTATATTATAGAGTATCTTTTTAAAATTTTTATTTAATTATTTTTAAAATTTACTAAAACAATAATTTTATATAAAGTTTCTTGATATAAATTAGTTGTCTTTAATCGAATTAAAAAGATTTTATTTTTGGGATGTCTACCAGCTAAAAGGCACTCTAACCATTATAGGAAAAATGGAAACTCAAGCCACCGGAAGCTAATTGGATGGCCACTGGCGATTTCCGGTGTTTGAACACAGATGAAGATTTTGGGGTTGCGCCTGCTATTGTGTGAACATGCACATGGATGAAGTTTCAAAAGGTATGATTAGTGGCTGTCGACTGGCATCCCCACCGAATTTAATTTCAACCATAAACAGACAATTATTTACCAGTTTCATCAAATTGTCAAGTCAAGTCAGCAGGTACATTTGTTTGCTTTTCATTCTAATTGGTTATGTTCATTTAAATTCCTATGATTAGTCCCCATAAATAGCGGAAAGGCAGATTGATTAGATCGAGCTTGATTCTCCAAACAAAGAATGTTTTACATGTATTTTGTTTTTAGATTAATTGTTTTGATGAAGTTAACAATTGATAATTAATATTTGAAGATAGATAGTAATTCTTTCTTTAAAGTTAGTCTAACTAGAACTTATGCATTTTAATGGTTCCTGAATCATCACTATGCTTCTTTTTTTTTTTTATTTGGTACTAACCTTTCGGTATTCAATAATCATATTGGATCCTAAGTAATTTGAAATTGATTCACATCAAATTCAGTAATTCGGAATTGAGTCACGTTAGATCCCATTTAGAGAAAAACTATTATAATACTTATCTTTTCATTTATAACACTCGAATTCGAAATCTTACTTAAGGAGAATCGAATTTTTTTCCCTTTGAACTAACAGGTAATTGGTATTTTGCTTTCTATTTAGATCTGCATAACTTCAACCGAAAATTACCCCCCCAAAAACTCACGATCAAAACCCTCGATGAAGATGAGAATGGTCTCAGACACGAAGGCAAGAGCAAAATCTCAACCTCAACAATCCTCCATGCGATTGCTGCAATCTGCAGTAGAAGGGAAGAAAAGAAGAGTTGTAGTTGCAAAGTAGGAATGGGTAAAGGAAGAGCTGTAGTTTCAAAACTAAGGACTAGTGGTGAAGCTAAGGAATGGGGGAAAATTGTGCATCTAGGTTACAATACAATATTTGTATTTAAGTTAAAATTAATTGATAATAAATGAAATAATATTTTTAATATTTAACTTATATTTTTTTATTACATATATTAAATATAAAATTTTTTCACAAAACAAAATAAAATTACTTACGTCATAATGCAAAAGAGAAGAGCAATAATATGTGGGGGGACCATCTTCACGTGCAATTGTGCACTACAAATACAATCACCACGGCACCACCAGTTAAGCCAACATTTGGATTAAGCAAACATATAACATTAATGGGGTAACCAAACCGCAATTGCAAGTGTTGCCTCTTATTCTGCTCTTAAAATGCATTTAATCATAATCCAATGCACGATCAATTTATACAGCTGCTGCAAGCCCATGAGACATGTGATGAGTCGGGCAGGGGCCCGGGTACTGGCTACCGACGCTGCCAGTGGAACTCTGGGACCAAAGTGATTGGTTTGTGCTTTGAATTGCCAACAGAAGAAACAGTACTCCTTGTCCCTGCCTACCTACCTTCTGCCTGCGGATTGCTAGGGGTGCTATCCTCCCTATCACGTTTTTTTTGATCTTTTTGACTCCACCCACCAATTAAATTTTTACTGCTTTTTATGTTGAAGTCTGGACAGATACTACGGTGCAGTATGTAGGTGAACACCAAAAATGTACCCTTCCGCTTACATGAATCCAAAACAGTTTAGACAAAATCTTAAGTTAAATTCTTGAATTTATTTTTAATTTTTAATTAAATTTTTAAATTTTTATTAAAGTAAATAAAATTTTAAATTTGATAATTTAAATAATTTAACTTTTTTTATAATAAAATTAACATTTATTTATATTTTACTTGTGTAAAAGTATACATGTTAATACTTTCTTTTTGTGTACAGTGCATTACTTGGTCAACTACACTATTTTTAATTATTGATAAATGGGTGAATCCTTAAAATTAGAAAACCCCACTTCTTTATCAATAATTATAAAAAACGTAAATTATCTTTTAATTTTTTGTTATAAGATTATAATACCCATTAAAGAAAAAAAGAGAATATCAAAACAAAATTTGATCTCAGTTTCTTAAAGTAACCATATGTAAAAACGGAGATAAAACTGACTAAGCTCGATTAAGATTCAATACATATGTTTCAGATGTTATCATAACATGTATTACTGAATCAATAGAGATCAATTTTGTTATTGAAAGTTTCACGTTTGTCGACTAGATTGCGATCTGGCACATTAAGCCAACATTATTTGTCGACAAATAAAAAAAAAAAAGGGAGAGAGAGAGAGAGAAGAAGAGACAACATTGAATATTTGATTTAATAGCAAATGATTGGCTAATCGATTCAAAGTTTGCTGTAAAACACCACCCATTCTCACCAAATCTATGCATATATGCGCCATGTATAATCAACTTCTTTTGTCCATGATAAAATTAACGCGGATGAAGCAAAATTTTGACATCGGTTATGAGCTGGACTGGGGTTGAGCAACAGCTCATTTACTTCTTCTGAAATTAAAATCTATCATTGACATTGAAAATTTGTACATATGATGATGCTCCCTTTGATTGTGAAAAAGAATTAATTAAAAAGCTTGAAAATAGTTTTTATAAAACACTATAATCACTTTTATAATTGTACTTAATCCAACTTCAATTTTAGATTTTTTTCAATAGCTAGGTAGTAAGTTTGAATTGCATTAGTAATATAATTTAATATAAAAATCTTGTTTTAAAATCTAAACTACATCAAATTACAAAATAAAAACAATGTCAAATGGATGGAGAGCCCTCAATATCCTAAGGTTCTTTCCGCCATCTAATTGTTTAATTTGTGTAGTTTATTATAGTGTAAATAACATAACAACCTATTAATTTAGTATACTCTTTTCTTCTTTCCCTTCTACACTCTATTACTTTAAGGGTCTTTTTAACCTATACTCTTAAGATACAAGTTAAGGATACAGTAAATGCATATTTTTGTAATTAATTCTCATTGAAAATGTAACTGTTAATTTTGGTTTAAACAACTAATCAATTAAGATTAATCACGCGTCAGTGACATTAAAATTAATATCATTTTTTATAATTTTGTCTATGAATTAATTATAAAAAAATACATTTATTATATTTTTAACATATATCCTTACGATATATATTAGGTAAACCTTTACTTTAATACTAGTTATATATTAGATGTTAACGTTTCTCTTAATTTGCTTCATTTTCGAGTTGAATATGTTGTTTTTTTTTTTTTTAACTTTTTGATATTCGATAATCATATTGGATCTCAACTAATTCAGAATCGAGTCGTGTCAAATCTTATTAGAGGAGAACCTCTTCCAATACCTGTTTCTCCATTCACAAGACTTGAAGTCAAAATTTTATTTAAAAAGAACCAAACTCATTTTGCTCAGACCAATGAATTGTCGGTGAATATGTTGCTTACTGAGACCAAATCAACTCTACGGTATCATTATCCATACATTTTCAAACCATCATATCGGGGTATTAATTTCATGACCAAGTCAGCTTGTATTTTTTCAACTTGCGGTGACAAAACTTATACACTAAGCTTTCTTCCTCCAAAAATTAATGCAAACCGCGTAAAATTTTTCTATATAATGACTAGATTACAGCAGTCATGTACCGAAAAGCAAACAAACCATTCAACCTTCTTTTGGCTAATAAAGGAAATAAAGCAGTAAATGGCATCTTACATTGCTCATGCTTCCTTTCTCCTGTCTACCCTTTTCACAGCACTCATGTTATATCACTCCAACGCTCAACTCAGTTCTACATTTTATGCCACAACATGTCCTAATGTGTCCAGCATTGTTCGCACTGTTCTTCAGAGTGCTCTGAATTCCGATCCCCGAATTGGTGCTAGCCTCATTCGCCTCCATTTCCATGATTGTTTTGTCAACGTAAATTCGACTTCTCCCTCCAAACACTACTCCTTTATATATTCCTCAGCACAAGTTTTCTAACTAGTTTTGTTTTCCATTTTCAGGGGTGTGATGGTTCAATTTTACTAGACAACAGCGCCAACATACAGAGCGAGAAAGATTCTGCTCCCAACACGAATTCCACAAGAGGGTTTGATGTTGTCGACAACATCAAGACAGCAATTGAAAACGCTTGTCCTGGTGCTGTTTCCTGCGCTGACATACTCGCCCTGGCATCAGAAGCTGCTGTTTCTTTGGTAAATCCTAAAGAGTTCAATCATTTCAATTTTTACCAAAATATGTAGCATGATATATATAGCTAGACTCATAATTATGCATTTTCTAAAGGCTGGAGGACCTTCATGGAGTGTGCTCTTAGGGAGAAGGGACAGCTTGACTGCAAACCAGGCTGGTGCTAACACCTCCATTCCCTCACCTGTTGAAGGCTTGAGCAACATCACTGCCAAGTTCTCTGCAGTCGGTCTCAATACTAATGATCTCGTGGCATTATCTGGTAGGATTATATGATTCACACTTTCATAATCTGGTGTCTTTAGCTAAGCGCTAGAATTAGTATCATCAAGTTACTTCTTTATGTAAAATTTTCAAATTGGAAAAACAGACTCTAACAACAAACTCATAATTGCAGGTGCACATACCTTTGGACGGGCGCAGTGTCGCTTATTCATCAACAGACTATACAATTTCAATGGTACAGGCAACCCTGATCCAACACTCAGTTCATCATACCTGAGTAACCTCCAACAGATATGTCCCCAAACTGGGAGTAGATTTAATGTTGCAAATCTTGATCCCACAACTCCTGATGGTTTTGACAATAACTACTTCAGTAACCTTCAGAACAACCAGGGCCTTCTCCAATCTGACCAGGAGCTGTTCTCGACGACGGGTGCTGCCACCATCTCTATTGTCAACAGCTTCAGCAGCAACCAGACAGCTTTCTTCCAAAGCTTTGCTCAGTCAATGATTAATATGGGGAATATTAGTCCACTAACAGGGAGCAGTGGAGAAATCAGAGCCAATTGTAGGAAGGTTAATGGCAGTTGATTGAGCTCTGTAGCTCAAATTCATGGTTCTTTACCTGATTCTGTTTGCTTGTTCTGCATTCCCTAGCAAGGTAGAATGAGTATACAGGATTTTTTTGGGCTATGAAAGTGACTGAATGGAAAATTACTGGAGACAAATACACAATCATAATGGAAGATCTGTCCCGTAGTGTTTAATGGTTGGTGGCTGGTGTGGGGTGGTTGATGATTTTTAATTGATGAATTTTGTTTGATTAATTCATAGACAAATACTTGTCCATAAAAAAAAATTCATTGACAAATGTACTTCGTATTTGTTTTCCATTTTTATGTTAAAAAAAAGAATCATACATTTACCACAAAATTCTTACTGTAGTTCAAAAGTTACACGGTTATGGACTCAGCTTTTGACAATAAACAAAGCACTTTTGCAGGCCAAATTTGACCATACTTTTACTTTTTGTAGCAAAAGCTTTGTTTTGGAAGTATAAACAAACACCAAACACTTGCTCTTTTGACAGCTAGTAAGTTAGTTGTTAAATATATTTAATATCTTAATAATAATAAAAATTTGAGATAGGGTAATGTCATATTGTTCATTATTCTTTAACCCCTAAATTGTGCTTGTTTAAAAAAAAAAAAAATCACTTGCTCTTCTGAACAGAGAAATGCACATTTTTTGGTTAGACCCTAACAAATTATAATAAATTATGAATTTATTGATTTGTAGTCTAATACCATTTATTATGAGTTTGATTCTTATAACTCATAATAAATTATGAGTTTCTTGTTTTGTAATTTAAATAATATTAAATTGTAAAACATAAATTTTTTAAAAGAAAGAAGTTCTTCGATATCAAGAGAGTACTTTATTTCAGGTAATAAAAAACTTATACAATATAAAATCTTAACTCAAGATCTTTTTAGTTTGAAAAGAAGAAAGGGGAGGGAGATGAGTTTTCTTTTTCTTTTCTTTTTTTTTTAATTAAGCTATTCTTTTATACTAATTCTTCTCTTAATATCTTAAAGGCATACTCTACATTAATTTGATGTATTTAAAAAAATTAAATTTTATCAATAATCTAAATAACTCAATAATTATCTTCTTCCATTAAAAATAAGAAGTCATGAATTCGAGTAGCATGATATGCAGATCCAATAAAATAATAGATAAAAAATAATTATTTTTTATCATGCAATCAAAATACTAACTCTAAAACTCCAATCATAAACTTAACCCATAAAATGATATGAATCCAACCCTTCCTAGAAATAGCTTTACTAGTAGGCCATAACCAATTTTTGTTTGGTTAAGGTTTTTTTTTTTTTTTTAATAAAAAAATAATTAAATTAAATATTAATATATATTATTTTATAAAAAGATCAAATCTTATAATTAGAGTTGATCGCATTTCACTTACTACCTAATGAAAAACGTGCCCACCTCTGACCCAGACGGGGGATTGCTTGTTTGGTCAAGTTCAAAAGTTCACATTTTTTCATTGTCAAACAATTGGGTTCAAGTCTTAACCACACCCCACCGCCACCTCCAAAAAATAAAAGGGGGGCTTTGGACAGGCACCGCGGTAATGACACGTTGGAATGACATAAATTTTGGACTCCACACCCCATAAATTCAACTACACTCCATTCCAGCGTCATAAACTTTCAATAACAGCCATTGATCTAAACCATCACCACCGTTTACCTCATCAGTAATCACAATCAAATACTTCCCAAAGAAAGAATAATACCGAAACCTCAATGCACCTGATCATCCCCTCGCCGGGATGCCGGATGCCCCAATTCACCTTCTCCTCATTCCTCTTCACTTCATCCCCACAATTCCACACATTAATTTGTCTCTCCTCCTTCCTTCCTCAGAACGTTGACCCCAGAAGATATATAGAGCATCCATGGCTTCAGAGCACTCCCAGGTCTTGTTTCTTCTCGTTTAAGTCTCGATTGTCATTATGGGTATTGGATTTTTTATGCTTAGCTCTTTAAATTTTGCTCAGAAATTGATTGTAAAGTCATCATCTTGAGGAACCAAAATTAGGGTTTCTCAAAATTATGGGATTATTCAAGTTTTAGATCTGGGTTTTTAAATTTTGGTTGTTATGGTGTTGGTACAGGGATTCTTTGGTTCATTATAAAGGAAGGGTGTTTTTTTTTTTTTTTTTTTTTTTTTTTTTTTTTTAATAATAAAGGAATGGTTTTGTTTATTTGTGGTAGATTGAGGGTTTTGAGAGTTTGTGATGTGTAAATTTGCGGAGTAGTTTGGATTCTGCGATGTTGTTTTTGTGTTGAAGTTAGGGTTTTTATATCTGGGGCTCTTGAATTTGTGAGGAAAGTGATGTGGGTTTATCTGGGTTAGTTCCGTTGTAATCTAGGTTTGCTCAATTGTTGGGAAAGGAAGAGTTTTGTTTTTGGTTTGATCATTTCGTGATGGGTGAGGAAATACCTGATGTGATGAACCTTGATTTGAATCTAGGTCCTGTTCCTGAAGCAGGATCAGGATCAATTTCTACTGAAGCTGTGAATTTGGATGAATGGTCGGATAATCGAATTGATAGATTAAGGGAAGCTTTTCGGCGCAGGCGGTGGAGAAGGCAGCAGGTTCACATTCCCCCTGTAGCTCGGAACATCTCCTTGGAATTGGATCAATCATTGGGAAATTTAGGCAATATAAGTACATTGCAAGCTGGTGAAGGCAGTGTTGCTGCTGAGGAAAGAATAAATGATGTTCCAAAAATGTGTGAAAACAGCAATGGATTCTTGGAAGATAATGTTTCAGAGAAGAAGGATGACATTGAGAAGGGTAGCAGCAATGATGGAAGCTTTTTTGACTGTAATGTGTGCTTGGATCTGGCTAGGGATCCTGTTGTAACATGTTGCGGTCACCTGTTTTGTTGGTCGTGCCTTTACAGATGGTTAAATGTTCATTCATATGCAAAGGAATGCCCAGTCTGCAAAGGAGAGGTGACAAATAAAACTGTAACCCCAATATTTGGTCGTGGGAATGCTACTGGAGGGGTGGAAGATGACTCAGGTCTTAAGATCCCTCCTAGGCCAGATGCAAGGCGGGTTGAGAGTTTGAGGCAAATGCACAGAAGCTCTTTCAGTTTTCCAGTGGAGGAAATGATTCGTCTTATGGGAAGTAGATTTATGGCCCGAGATTTGACTCCACCAAGGGATGGCAATGTTGTTCAAGAAACAGCAGAAAGAACTAATTCCTTTCTAAACAGGATTATGACATCTCGTGGAATTCGTAGTGAGCAAAATTCAGATGTGCCCCTAGTAGAGGTCAACTTCACACCGAGTAGCACTGCTGGACCTGAGGCGACCTATACTTCTTCCTTGCTTCCAAGACAAGCACAGTTGCGCAGAGCTGCAAGGATTCCCTCGTCTTCAGAAAGGTATTTTGAGGCATATATTAGAGCCCAATCAATGGGAAGAAATCAGGAGCAGGCACCACCAGTTGATGACAGAGATTCGGTCTCAAGCATTGCTGCTGTTATAAACTCGGAGAGTCAAATCGACACTGCTGTGGAGATAGACTCTGGTATCTCTCTTTCTACTTCAACTTCTAGAAGGAGAAATGAACCTTCAAGAGTTTCAGATGTGGATAGTGGAGATTCTCGTCCACCTAGAAGGAGGCGACTGAACTAGAAAGAGTCCTTCAATTTCTTGTTCCCCTGAACTTTTATATCCTACCTACACCTCTTGATATGAGAACGATTGTAGAACTTTTCAAAGATATTTCACTCACCTTTGCGGGTTTCGAGGTGCTAACATATTGCTTTAGGGCAATGTATTCAACATTTATGTCAATAATTTCTTAAGCTGCTCTTGTACATCTGCAATCTTCATTTGTCTGATTACCTTGTCTTTCTTCTCATGAGGTGAATCCTATAGATGCTCTTTTTATTGCGTTGCAATATTTTTGCATGTCAGTTTGTTCATAGCGAGTTATTTAGTTCAAAAATCTAGACTGGCAGGAATTGAAGAACATAAACAATAAGGTCATTGTTTTGCAGTCTAGTGTTCAACTTACAAAACATGGACCATCTCTCCTAGTTAGCATTGAGGATCCCTCATCTCATAATTTACCTTAAGTAATTTTATTTAATGATTAATTATATAAGAGAAAATAGTTTGAATATGATATTTTCAACTCAAAATTTCATGTTTTTACCCAATTGAATCACCCTTTTAAGGATTTTATGTTGTGTAATCTAATGCAATGTAAACTAAATAACTTTGTAGGGGTTTATATATCCCTTCTTTATTATTATTATTATTATTATTTTATTTTTTTCAATTTTAGTGGAGTGCCAGTCCGAGTCTTCTAAGAGTTCGGTCCGTAAATGAGCCGAGTTTGGGCTAAACTTGAAAGTTAGTGTATGGGTGGATGTTGTCTGTCAAGGGCTCAATTTATTTTCAGCCCAATGTATCAATGCCAACAAGTCTAACAACGATGTACTATTTGAGCCCATGCTGCCCATCAATAAAGCCCTTCGAGTTTCTACTAGGACTGAGCATTGAGTATGAACACTCCTTATTTGTAAGTATTTTATTTATTTAAATAAATATTATATATTTTTTTTGAATATTTTGTCACGGGATCGGATCGAACCGTTGCTCTAGGGAAGGGGAAAATGAACCTTACACTAGTGGCTAAAGCCACTTGGCCACAGGACCAAGTTCAAATAAATATTATATTTGAATTATAAGAAAAATAAGTAATGGGTATAAAAATAACATATTTATAAATATCAAGTTAAGTAATAAATATAAAAGTTTAGAACAACTTATCCAACTTGTTTAACCAATTTGTTAAACAAATCTATTATTTATACTTATATAATTGAAATTTTACATTTAACTTTTATATTTAATATCTATATAATAACAATAATTTTTAAAAATAAAAGTTAAAAAAGACTTATAAACTAAACACATTACACATGTAATAATAATATTTTATATTAGATATTTACTTTCATTAAACCAAGTACATAAATATATACATGTAAGTTATTCAGTTCCTGTTAAATTAAATATTGAGTATAAATTTTTAAGTGTCTAACTAGGGATTAATTCTAAAAAATTTTATTAAAATTTTTTTAAATCAAATATTAAATATAATTCAAATTTGGCCTATATCCGCAAATGCTCACCCTAGATTCTAGCTAGTAAAGTACAGCCTACAATGAAAGCCCAATGCATTTATCACCTGTATCCTCTATCAGCCCACCTGAACCAGTTTTCTAGGGTTAACCCCTAATCCAGTTCAGTATACTCACTAATATGAAAGGGGCTGATTGGTTGTCTAAAATTCCAAATGAGTCATGTTTGAAACAAACCCCAACCAATGAGGAAGCAAGGCATGGATATTGAGTTGTTGACGATGATCATGATGATGATGACGACGACTATGGTGGCCATGATGATAGTGATAAGGATGAGATGATGATAATCATAATGGGCAAAAAAAAGGTAAGAAAAACAAAGAGGGATGGGGGGATGAAATGATTATGGGATGCAAAGGGAATGATTGAGCACACGGAGAGTATATTTCAAGGCATCCATGCATTCAAAATTTTCAAAGTCATCTTTGCTCAACATTAATCCCATCATCTTTCTTTCATGCATTTCCTTTCCAAATCTTTGCACTTCAATCTTCATGCATGCCTGTGTATCAAAAGTCAACAACAATATCTATCATTATTTCAATCTCATGTTATTTCGTAATCTTTTTTTCCACAGTTACTAATTCCTACTTTAATTTTCGCTTTGACAAAAGCTTGGAATCCCAAGTTTCAAGTTTTTCAACCATCCCTTTTCTTTTTGGTTCTCAATGTTCTTTCCATGTATATATATAATAATATGTCGAAGAACTCTCCCTCCACCAATAAAAATTACAAATTAAAAGTTTGTTGATAAAGCCTAAGTGTTTAAAATATAGAGGATAGCATCCATAAGAGTTTAGTTGAATAAGTTTTATTTTATTTTTTATTTTTGGTATATCTAATAATAAGTTACATAATAAAAAAATGATAGTAATACTAATGATCTGTTGATTCGAGTAGAAAAAATTCGATTCCCTTTAAGTAAAAAAGAATTGGCTCCTTTTAACTAAAAGGAAATCGATTCCTTTTAAGTAAAATCTTGAGTTTGAGTCTTGTAGATTGAGAAATTAGTATTGGGAGAGTTTTCTTTTATGAGATCTAAAATAATTTGATTCCAAATTAGTTGAAACCTAATATAACTTCTAGATAGATGTTAAGGGTTAGTATAAAAAAATTAATATTATTATTAATAAAAAGAGAAGAGTGTTTTTCAATAAAAATTGCATTTATTTGTGCAGTTTGAATTCTAAAATTATCAAAACACCCTTAATAAAACTCCTTTACTAGTTTATTCATTAAAATTGTCTTGGTAATTTTAGTTTTTGTATTGTGTAAAAAAAATGTAGTCTGTAGTCTGTACTAAAAAAATGCTCATCTCTAATAAGAAATTGGCCGAGTTGGAGTACAAACTGCATTTTTTTATGCAGTCTAAATTATGAAATTATCAACACACCCTTAATACAACTCCCCTCCAAGTTTATTCATTAATGGTATTTTGGTAATTTTAGTAATTATACTGTACAAAAAAACTATAGTTTGTACTAAAAGAAACACATCTCTCTAATAAAAAATTGGTTGAATTTGTATAAATTAATTTAAAAATCTTGATTTAAAATCAATCTCATTAAGAGTTAAAATTTTTATAATACCAAACGATTTAATTTCCAATGCATAAAAAAAAAAAAAATCGCCTACCTTTCACCAATCCAAGGATAAAGCCTAATCAGATTTTAACTGAAGAGTGCATGTTCTAGATCACTATATATAAACACAAGAACAGGAGTAAATAAATTTTAATAAAGATTTTTGTTTTAAATTTAAGAAATTATTGAAAATCCTGCATGTGGGCTCAACATAAGGCTTGCATCCAACCTAAAACCAATTGGCAATAAGTGGAGTAGCCCTCCTTGTATTTAACCCACAAGCTTCTTATTTTTATACTCGATGTGGGATTTTCCCACTTAACACACCCTCTCACGTGCAGGCCCGCTATGAATGTTGGGTCCTGTCACGTGGGTTAACACGCCCCCTTAAATGCAGGCTCGGTCAACTTCGAGTCCTGTCAAGTGGGCTAACAACGGGCTTCCCATGGTAGAACCTGGGCTCTGATACCATATTGAAAATCTTGCATGTGGGCTTAACACAAGGCTTGCATCCAACCTAAAACCAATTGGCAATAGGTGGAGTAGCCATCCTTATATTTAACCCACAAGCTTCTTATTTTTATACTCGATGTGGGATTTTCCCACTTAACACGCCCCCTTACGTGCAGGCCCGCTATGAATGTCGGGTCCTGTCACGTGGGTTAACACGCCCCCTTAAATGCAGGCTCGGTCAACTTCGAGTCCTGTCAAGTGGGCTAACAACGGGCTTCCCATAGTAGAACCTGGGCTCTGATACCATATTGAAAATCCTGCATGTGGGCTCAACACAAGGCTTGCATCCAACCTAAAACCAATTGACAATAGGTGGAGTAGCCATCCTTGTATTTAACCCACAAGCGGGATTTTCCCACTTAACACGCCCCCTCATGTGCAGGCCCGCTATGAATGTCGGGTCCTGTCACGTGGGTTAACACGCCCCCTTAAATGCAGGCTCGGTCAACTTCGAGTCTTGTCAGGTGGGCTAACAACGGGCTTCCCAGAGTAGAACCTGGGCTCTGATACCATATTGAAAATCCTGCATGTGGGCTTGTTAAGTGGGAAAATCCCACATCGAGTATAAAAATAAGAAGCTTGTGGGTTAAATACAAGGATGGCTACTCCACCTATTGCCAATTGATTTTAGGTTGGATGCAAGCCTTGTGTTGAGCTCACATGCAGGATTTTCAATAGAAATTGAATAAAATTAGTAAAAGTAAAAGTAAAAACCTTGATTAGCCAATCAAACGCTACTGATTATTATAATAAGCCTATTATGAAGATCATTTTTATAATTAAAATGCAGTATTTTGGGGTCTATTGTCTCAAACTTTGCCAGCATCACAGAGCATCCTAGAGCATCCCAGGGAGAAAATTGGGACAAGGAGAAATGATGGTGACGATAATGACCATGATTATGACAATCAAAGTAAAAGCATGACAAAATGCATAATCATTATGTCTAAGGATATAGGAAAATGCAGGATCCTTCCATGCCTGTCTTTATCTTGTCATAATTCATCTTGATAATTATCATAGAATAACTAATTATATATGTACAAGTAATTGCTTTTCAAACTAGGTTTAGAAGTTGCAATCATGTCAAATGATATGTGAAACCATGGTTTCATCATGTCTTCCTCCCTTTGATTGATCAACTTTTTAAGGGTAACATATACTCTACCAAAGTAATTAAAGAGGTTATCAATCCAACATTCTTCCTTCTAAATTCAAAATTATATTGTTTTGATAAATATTATGTAATTTTCTTTACAGATTAAAAAACTGAAATAAATACCTTTAAATGCGTGTCTCAAAATTACTTGATTTTTAAGAAATGTTGATCTATTGAAGGATGTGTTGAGACAAGGAGGATTCCTCATATGTACAAAACCAATAAAATTTATTATCAATTTTTTATTTTACAATTTAATTGATGTAAAATATGAATTATTAAATAAAAAATAATATCAAATATTAAGAATTTACACATATTTAATCATTTAAATTACACACAAATTTTTTTGAATTTGTTTTTAGGGTGGATTGCATGTTCCTTTCTAAAGGTGGGGGCGAGGGGCCTAGAAGAAGGAGAAGACGTAGTGAATTAAGGGGATAGTGATGGGTACTTGCATGAAAAGGATTGAAATTTGAGATGGATAGAGAGAAGACGAAACC